CTGACAGCGAGACCGGCCATTATTAGAGACCCGGCCGCTATTGGAATACAGGCCAATATTAGAGAATTTACGGTATATTACATTTCTGACTGTATATCCCTGTAATTATTACACACTGTAGCTTTAAGGGTGATTCAGCTGATTAAGATGGGTGATTTAGATATTGACTAGCCCAGTTTGTTAGCCTACACTGGAAGAGCTTGATGCAGCTGCTGTTATTCTTTACAAACTTCTCAAAACAAGCATAGGTGTCTTTTAGTTATGTTTTTAGAGAATAATCTACGTTTCATTGCCTATATTCACTGATTAGATCGGTAGTTCTTCCTACATGCTTGATGGGGAGGCACCACTGATCTCTATTCACTGGATTGCTGATAGTCTGAAAAAAGTTAAGCCACCATCCGCCATATTGGTATTCCCCACTCCCACGGAGACGTGCCATAGAAATGCCTACGTGTGTAGCATTTGGCTGAAAAAACAAGCAGTTTTCTGGCTCTGGGAAGACGTTTCACAGGTAATTTCGCAGTCAGTTGATGTACTAACCAAGAAAATCCATATATGCCGATGTATCCCATAGTATAGTATGTAACATAATATTAGTCTTGTTATCGAGGACTAAATCGAAGATATTGACTTAGCTGAGTTAGCCATCGACTTTGTGTCTAACATTAGAAAATAGGAAGTAGAGTAAATAGGAATTAATTCACTGTGAAATGTCAATATAGTAATTCATTTATTCATTATTCAATCCATTTATTAAATGGATGACACTGACGTTTTTGTAGTGTTTGTTGTATTTCTCATTTGAAAAATGTATGTGCTGAAATATATTGCATTTTATGTTGACGGAAAAAAAGCAACTAAAACATTTTCTTTTTTCTTTTTTTTTATCAGTGTCCTGTCTGGTAATGTGGCATTAAGAATAATTGCCTTGATGCCAAAAAGAGCCTGACAGATTTTACTTTGTCAAGTGGAGCAGTATGGCTATCGCCAGTGTTGTGCCTGAACG